GCAATTACTATCTTAGTATGACGATATTATTTTATTCATCTTATTCTTTCATTCGAAGAAAGTATTATAATTGCTGGGGGCCGCTTTTATTACTTTTATTTTTTTTCTTCATGCCATAAGTCTGTTGATCTTGATTATCGTTTTCTACGAATTTTTTAACAATAGATGATTCTAGCTAAAGATAAATGACAAAACCATCAGATGTTACAGAGTTGTTTTACTTGTTGTCGAATTCATGCTGAACATCTATCTTTATCTTTTGCATTCATCGTATTCTCATTGTATGATTAGATATTATAGAGGTTGATAGGAAGCATCGTTAAAACCAAGTTTTTCCTTCTCCATCTATCTTTTAACCTCGTATCCGAATCACCACTATATAGGGCGGCCTCGGTTTGTCTCCTGAATGCTTTGGCCATCTCACTCATCTTCTCTCCACAGTTTGCCACCTCGAGCCGATCTCTCAATCTAATTTACCGAAATTTCCGTCGGGACCACCCTCCTCCATAGATGAGACCCACACAATCTCTTCTTTTGATTCGAACGACATGTTTATCCAAAGTTCTGCTCGTACCAGAAAAGGAGGCTTAGTTCTTGCACTTGAAGGCGGTTACCATCCAGCTGCCACAGCGGAGGCACTTTGTCACTCAGTCGCCAGCCTTCTCGGCGACTCATGTTGTCGCCTTAGCCAAGGACTCGCTCCGACAGAAAGGTTGGATGAAACTTTTTTATTTGTTAATAAATTTATCTTTCTTTGTGTCAGTAATTTTAGAAGGTTCTTTCTCTTGCCTCATTAATTTCTTTATCTCATCTGTTTATAATTCGGTATCAAATGCTAATTCGCACGAATAAATCTGCTTACATTATTTTGCTACCATGTGGATTTACACTTATATCTGAATAGTGATCCAGTCATTGTATTTCTTGGACACGTTCTCTCAAAAGTTTCTGTATCTTAAATTTTTGGCTCCAGATGTATTAAATCGTCTTCACTATAGGAAGCCAGTTTCATCTATAGACGAAGCGACAATCCATTCCCTTATATATATATATAT